TCCCAGCCACTTGAAGGGCTGAGGTGGGAGGATGGCTTGAGCACAGGAGTTTAAGGCTGCAGTGAACTATGATCACGCCACTGCACTCCAGCCTGAGTGACAGACAGAGTGAGACCATTTCTAAATAAACAAGTGGTTGTTTGGGCTACTGTGTTGAGAACAGAGTATAGGGACTGAAGATAGAAGCAGAGAAATAAATTAGGAGGCTCTGGGGTAACAGTGGGGTAGTGAGAGGTGGTTGAATTGATGATCTATTTGAAGGTTGAGTCAAAAGGAGTTCATGACAGTTTAGAAGTAGAGGTACAAGAGGAATTAAGAATGACTCCAAGGTTTTTGGTCTAAATAACTGAAAAGATGGAGCTTCAACAGAAACTCACATGTAAGTGTATGCTGGGAAGGAGGGGAGATGAAGAGTTTGGACATTTTAAATTTTAGAAATCTATTATATTTTTAACTAGTGATGGAAGGGGGCAGTTGGAGCTACGTGACTGGAGTTCAAGAAAGAGAGCCAGGCTGGAGATATAAATGGGGACTGATCAGTATATAAGGAAACCAAACAAGATCACAAAAAACCACAACTGAAGGAAGAGCAAGGTCTGGGTCCAGGGACAAATCCATGCTGAAGGGTTGGGGAGAAGAAGATGATCCAGAAAAGGAGAATGAGAAGAAGTGAGAAGTGAGATCGAAGAAAACAGAGAATGAGGTATTCTGGGAGCCGGGTGAAGAAAGCAGATCAAGAACTTCGTAGCCAATGTTCAACTCCATCAGCTGTTATATTTTCATGATTCTAACTTACTGCTTAATTACAATTCAGGATCCCCTTTTGTTCTCTTTTTATTATACTATACTTCCTCTCTATAGTCAGCTGTCCATATCCTTGGGTTCCACATCTGTGGATTCAATCAATCACAAATTAAAAATACTAGGAGAAAAAATGGATGGCGTGTCTGTACTGAACACATACAGACTTTTTTTCTTGTCATTATTCTCTAAATAATACAGTATAACAACTATTTACATAGCATCTACATTGTGTTAGGTATTATAAGTAATGGAGAGATGATTTAAAGTATACAGGAAGATGGGCATAGGTTGCTTGCAAATACTACACCATCTTATATTAATATGAAGGACTTGAGCATCCATGGATTTGGGTGTCTGTGGGGGATCCTGGAACCAATCCCCATGGGTACAGATG